CAGGCTGTGGTTTCCCTAACAAAGCTACAAGTTCACTGACTCATCGGCTGATTGTTCCAGATTAAATGACCTGTGGGTGTTAAAATCACAGTGAACAGCTACCAGTACAAAGAGTTTTTACCTGCTTCCTGTATGATGACATACCAGGTGAACAGGCCTCGCCTCAGCATTAGCCTGCTGTCAGCTATCCAGTGACTTCAGAGCCTCTGACAATGAGAGACGCCTCATGTCACAGTTTAACCCTCTGGGGTCGCTGGACGCGTCAAAATCACATGACCAATTCAAGACGACACAGCTACAAGATGCAGCACGTCAAAGTCTCCATTTCAACTTGGGCGAAAGTGCGGACTTCAAACTATATACCAGTTTTTGAATTGTGTCGATGGGCCACGTAAAACCAGAGTTATGATAAAAAATACACGCGATGTTTTTTTCTGAACAAAACAGTGGGACAGCGGGAAGAACGTTTTCTACAGACAGCGCCAGCAAACACTCTCCGCTTGCGAGTGAAAAAAGAAAAAGAAAAAACACCCCTTCCCTATTGGTGTTAGAGTTTACCATGTCAGCCAATCAAAAAATGATATGGCAACATGTGACATTCGGTTGTTTAGGGAGGAGGGGAAGTTTTTAGGAGTGACACCCGAGCGAAAGAAAGAGAGAGAGCGAGTTTTTATATGTGAGACATTAGTGACGTTTAGCGTGTTTGGAGGCTGTAGTTAGTTTGTTGTGTAGTTATTGTCTTGTATTGTGTGTCAGTTATGCTGCTGAATTTTATATTTGCTCTAAAAAAGCCACCAAAGGCAGATTCCAGTGTCCAAACTGGACTGATACACCTCCTGCTGTCAGACCTGCAGGTTTAGGCCTGTGCTGTTCTCCTCTGTCTTATACTGAACACAAACTACATTTTTTGGACTGCCTTCTTATTTGATGCAGAACACCTGATTGTTCTGTAAATAGATTTAAATGGTTCTATAAAAAACGCCTGAGGCCTTTGCTGCATTTGTAGGTAAATAGTACCAAATAACTTTGTTGTTTGCAAAACTTGTGCATAATTTTTAGAAATGTACAATTTCTATTTGTATTCCAAGTTATGAAAATGATTCTTTAAACATGTTTGTGGGTTTTACAGTAAAAAATATAACTTTTTCTACTCGGATTTTGAATTTTATGTCTGAATTTAGATCAACTGTGCTAATATGGTATACCAAAATGAAAAAATAACTCAAATTTCAGATATTTGAGGTTGTGCTGAAAATAATGATACCAAACAAGGGAAGAAAAACATATTTTAAAGGTGAAATATAGAGGTAAAATCAAATGTAGTCAAAAATGGCCAATTATACCCTGGACCCACGAGGGTTAATTAAACGCCTTAAATAAAAGTTGAAACTTTGCACTTCAGTCACATGTTAACGTTTCATCTAAACGATGTACAAAGCCCAAAAATGGTGTCACTGTCCAAGAACTGTAGGAATAAATAATCCCGTGTCTCGTCTTTTTATTTCGCAGCTCACAGGTGGAGGTGACGTATCTGAGGAGGAGAGGAAGGTTGGCGGAGGTCAGGACCACTGAGGGAACAGAGGCAGCAGGATGGCTTCACCCGAAAAGGTGAAATAATTGCTGTAAATAAAAAAAGGAGCATTTTCTAAGTTAAGCACGGCAGCGTACGAAAAGAAACCACATGACGAAGCGCTGCTGCTTGCTGAGCCTGAGAGAAGCCGCAGCGAGACAAAATCCAGACTCGGAGTTTGAAGAATTAGTGGCTTCATGATTTGTATTTTCACATGAAATAAATAACAGAACAGCTTTTCTCAGTGGAGCGTGCTCTGGACCTGAGACTTGTTTGTAGGGCTGGACGATGGAGAGTTTGTAACAAAAAGTCAAAGGAGCTTGCAAAGAAAA